GAAGACACACCAACCTTCAAACACCCAAACAAAGAGGGTTTAAATGAGTGAAGCTTAGTGTGTTTCCAGACTCAAAAGAAAGGAGAGAAGAAGAGGAAGACCAAGAAGGAGGGAGAAACAAGAAGAAGGAAGAAGGGGAAAGGGGGGGGAAAGAAAGAAAGGAAAAGAAGAAAGGGTAAAAGCACCCTCCAGCCCTGGATCCAATCCATTCCCTACCTATCCAGAAGGGGTAGATAGGGTATGGTTTGTTTCCACACCCCAATAGCACCCAAGCTATCAGGAGCCCAACCACCCAAGGGAGGAGACAAGTTAAATTAACAGGTATCAAATCCAAGGAGTGATTTGGCACATATTATTTAACTTGCCTCCTAGAAAAGTGGGAAGAGAAGGAAGGTGATGGAAAAGAAAAGAAGGGGAGGGGGGGGGGAAAGAAGGGAGAGAGTGAAGAACCCTGGACCCAAGCCAGTCTCTACAATTCCAGAAGGGGATTGCATAGCCAGGTTTGTTTCCCACCAAACCACCACCCAAGGACCCATAACAAGGGTTAGAGACCCTCCAAGGAGGGTTTCTAACATTTGAAATGTTTCCAGCCCCAAGGAAACAGGGCATAGGGATAACACCAGTTACCCAGAGGTCCCCAGTGTTAATCATATGTCCAGCAACCAACCACAGTGAACTCCCAACCAATCCTCAACAAGGATGGGTAGGGTCAGCACAGGAATCACAAGTAACATCCAAGGAGTCCAATCAGAGATATCCAAAGGGTGGGGGAGGTCTTAAACACCATTGGGATATAACCTGTTCATTACTTTGAAGACCCCCACCTTGATCTTGCACACAATACCATCAATATTAATGGCCTAGTTGTCAAAATAGACACCATTCCTCAATCTCCAAATGTGGTAGGCTGTGCTAAGAATAGCCAGCCTTATCATCTTCCTCCTAGAGCAATGGTTATTCCTCAGTCTCCTTAACCAAGTAAGGGCTTTATCCAGGGTAGACAGGGCAGGGGCAATCTCAAGCCATGATTTGATAGCATTCCATATGAGTGTGGAGGTTTCACAGCTGAAAAAGAGATGCTGACCCGTTTCCTCCTCCTTGTGGCAGAGCTCACATGATCTATTCTCCATAGCAATGAAATGAAGGCTGGTTTTGGTAGGTATTCTGTTACGGAAGATCAACCAAGCACAGAAAGAATATCTGGGTGGGATGTAGGATTTCCAAATAGCCTTCATCCAGGGTCTCACCTCAGCCCTGGTTCTAAGTAGATCATAAACTTTGGTAGCTGATATTTCACCCAAATCACAGAGTTGGTTCTCAAGTTCCCATCTGTTCCCACACTTGAGTAGTAGCATGTCTCTGATTTCAGTCAGCTTCTTGAAAAAGTGGGAGTCCTTCTTCCCAGGACTCCAAGTCCAAAAGTCATTGCCATCAAGATAAACAAAATGAACCCATTACACCCACAGGGTTTCCTTGTTAGAGGCAATATTCCACAGGTTCTTGCTCAAAAGTGCCTGATTCCAGATTATGGGCTGATTCAAACCAAGCCCCCCTTCATCCTTGGGCTTGCATATATCCTCCCAAGCAACCTTACAGAACTTACTCCCCCAAAGGAAAGTTCTACAAAGGGAGGTTATCCTGTCCAAGACAGATTTATGAATAGGGAAAGCTTGGAACCAGAAGCCTTCAATTCCTTGGATCACAGATCTGATGAGTTCCAATCTTCCTGCAGCAGACAGGGTTTTGGTATTCCATTTTCTAATATGTTCATCCACCTTATTCACAAGTGGGGCAAAGTCTCTTTCAGAAGCTCTCTGTGAGGTCAGAGGGAGTCCCAGGTATCTAACAGGCAGTTTACCCTGAGGGAAAGGCACCAAAGCAAGGATATCCTCTCTACTGTCTTTGATCTCTCCAGGCAGAAAGATATTGGATTTGAGAGGGTTAACATGCAAGCCAGATACTTGGGAAAAAATATTGATAGCTTTAGCCAACACATTGACAGAGTCCACATTTCCCCTGCAAAACATCATCACATCATCAGCAAAAGTAACATGAGTAATGCCCAGTTTAGAGCACCTGTTATGGAAAGTGAATCTGCTCCCATATAGCATTCTCCTGATCAGCCTTGAGAGGTATTCCATACAGAAAAGAAACAGTGTTGGGGCCATGGGGTCACCCTGTCTAATCCCTCTTTTGCATTTAATGAAGCCATGCAAGCCTCCATTAATAGAGAGAGAGAAGGATGCAGTGGTGACACACTCCATGACCCAGTTCACAAAAATGGGGGGGGGGGGAAGCCAATTCCCTGAAGTGTGTTCCTCAAGAAGTCCCAAGAGATTGTGTCATAAGCTTTTGAGATGTCCAGCTTTAGCATACAACAAGGAGGTGATCTCTTTCTAGCATACCCCCTAACCAGATGTTGTACCAGAAGGATATTGTCCACAATGCTCCTGCCCTTAATGAAAGCAGCCTGGGCAGGGTTAATGAGGCTAGGAAGTAGTCCAGCCATTCTGTTGGAGAGGATTTTAGTGATTATTTTATAGACCACATTGGAGCAGGCTATAGGTCTATAATCTTTAGCACTAGGGTTCTCCCTGACCTTAGGAATGAGGACAACCAAGGCATGATTAATCTGCTTATAGAGTCTCCCACTCAAAAAGAACTCAGAAACAGCATCAAAGACAGTATCACCAACAATGTCCCATTTCTTCTTGAAGAAGGCAGCTGTATAACCATCAGGTCCTGGGGCCTTATCATCACCAATGCTGAAAAGGGCTTCTCTGACTTCAGCTCTATCCACATTCCTGACCAAGTCAATGGCATCCTGGTGTTGGATAAGGGGCCCCTCTTTAAAGACATTCCAATCCACCGGGGAAGTAGGGACTGTATTACCAAAAATCTGATTATAGTAGCCAATGAATTCCTCAACAATAGCCTCCAGAGAAGTAGTAGTAGTTCCTTGGGATGTAATCAAAACAGGGATGGCATTCAACACACTTTGCTTCTTTACCATTGCATGGAAGAATTTTGTGCATTTGTCCCCTTCATTAATAAAGTTACACTTCACCTTTTGTTGGATGAAGGATCTTTCAGAGTAGAAAGAGGCTTTCTTCCTAGTATTGGCAACAAGCTGGAGTAGCTCCAAGTTATCAGGGTCCTTGTACAGCTTATCCATGAGGTCAGTGTAGGACTTTCTAGCCTCCTCAGCCCTGGAAGAGATATGTGCAAAATCCTTGTTGTTCAACTGTTTGAGAGGATGCTTCAGCATCTTCAGTTTTCTGCAGAGTCTAAATTGCCTAGTACCATTAAACCTCATGTCCCATACATGCTTCAAGGTATTATCAAAAGAGTCATGTTTAAGCCACATGTTGAAGAATTTGAAGGGTTTAGGGCTTTTGGTGGATGATTGGATGAGGTGGAGCAGAACAGGACAGTGGTCAGATTGGAACTCCATGGGCTTAAATTCAGCCCAACAATCCCACTGTAGAGCATCCCATTCACAGTTCACCATCACCCTATCCAATTTGGCCCATTTGTTCCCTTTGTTCCAAGTGAAGTGAGTACCAGTGGCCTTGGCATCAATCAAATCATTATTGAGCCTAAAGTGCAACAGATCAGTCATATCATAAGCATAGGTGTGGCAGTTTAATCTCTCACTGGAGTTCAGAACTGAGTTAAAATCCCCCATAATGGCCCAGGGGGTCTTGATATTCACAGCAAAATCAGAAATTGTTTCCCATAGTTGTCTTCTAACAGTTACATTGTATAGAGCAAAAACAAATGTAATGTGGAAGCATTTCTGGGAAACATTACACAAAATTCTGCAATGGATAAATTGATCACCAACATCCAGAACAGTACAAGTAACAAAAAGTGGGTTCCATATAACAGCCATTCTCCCATCATCAATCATAGCAAAATTATCAGTTGAAGACCAAGAAGGGAGTTTGTTATGAAGAAAAAGCTTAAACTTGGCTTCTGACATTTTTGTTTCCAAAATACAGCTCAGGTGCACACCAAGGTCCAAAATATATTTGCACAAAAAATTTTGTTTAGAGGGCCTATTAAGCCCTCTAAAGTTCCAGCAGAGTACCTTCATCAAGAGTTAGGGCCAGGGCCCCTTCCCCTACCTCTGTATGTACCCCCCCTGTTACCATGGTTGTGTCCACGTCCACTGCTTCTAGTTTCCCTTCTGAACTGTGGTTGTTTGCTGCCATTGTTGAAGTTTGCTTCCTTGAGAGGATGTGTAGTGAGGGATCCCCTTCCTTTTCCCACAAGTGTGAAGCCATCATTATCATCCTTTCTGGAGAAGGAGGGTGAGGGTTCATTGGGGTCAGCAAGTTTCTCACCACCTTTAGTTCCTTCCAAAACCTGCTTACCTTTTTGGTTCTGTTTAGGCTTCTCCCTCTCCTTGTCATTGTCAGCCAAGAGAGACGTTTTCATAACCTCAACTCTAGCCTTGTCCAAGGCTATTTGTTCTTCAGTAGTTTCCTTTCTCTGAATCTCATGGAGATCAAGGCAGTCAAAGGGTGTGTGTCCAAACTTCTCACAATGGTAGCAGTAAAGAGGCAGGTCTTCATATTCCACATGTTGCATATAGCTGCCTCCCACAAAGTTGACCTTCACAGAGGAGGGAGGGGGTTTGGATAAGTCCATATGAATGAGCACCCTACAAAAGTTTGGCTTCTTGTAAGCCAATTTGTCATCAGGGTCCTCCTCCAAGGTGAGTTTGGATGCCACTTTGTTGGTGAGGCCATCAGTAAAGAGTGGTCTTCCCAGTTTTGAAGCTATTTTGGACAGAGAATTATGGCCCCAGAATTGCATTGGCACATCCATAAGCTTGACCCAAACTGGCATGGTGGAAAAGGATTTTGCATTCCACATAAAGCCATCCTGGGGTATGTTGAGGAGCAACTTTTTGTTGTTTATTCTATGATCATCCATATGTAGCACTGAGTCCCTGTCCTCATTGGAGAGGAATTTGAAGATCACCCAGCCCTTATGATGGGGCACAAATTGGCAGGGCACTTTCCAAGATTCCACCAAGGATTGAATAGGGGCAAGGCCAGGGAATCTGCCAGTGAAACACCCAACCAAGCATGGTCCCCAAAGCTCCTCCATTGGTGTAACATCTTCAGGCTGAATAAAGACCTCCTCATCTTCAGCCATGTCCACCTGATGAAGCTTCATTCCTTTATCCTCTGATCTGTTTTTCTCAAACAATGATGCAAAGGTCTTTTTCTCTTTAGGTATATCAGCTTTATTACCAGGAGTATTGCAATCAGTCTTCCCAATCTCATTTCCACTGTTTTTCCCATTGTCTTCCTTTTCACAGTTCTCCTTCTCAATAGGTTCAGCAGTTTCAGGAGCTTCAGCATTGGTTGGGTTAGCTACTGGAGCATCTCCCTTGTTGCCATCACTCTTATCCTTCAGCAAATCCTGCTCAATCCTCTCCTCATCAAGAGAAGGGCTTTGGGATTCAGAACCATCATCGTCTTCAACCATGACCTCACAAGGTTTAGAGCAAGGATGGAAATCCTCCTCAGTCATGACCAGATAGTTATCCACAACATCAGAACACTCCACAGACTCCCCTCCAGCCCCAGACACACCCTCCATATCACGAAGAAAGTTACGCAACTCTTTCTTGTTTGGAGGAGTGGGAGGTGGAGGTCTACGATCCTTCTTCTTGCCCTTCGCCATCTGAGAAAAGCTCAAAACAAGGGAAGGACCAGCCGCACTTACCAGAAGTCCATCAGGAAGCTTGTTGTAGAAGAAGGTGAACAGTGTCGCGAACCCTAGCTAGTTCGTTGACTCCCAAATCTTGAACAACGCCGCTGGAATTCAGGATGGATAGGCTCGCCTTGGAGTGTAGAAGACCAATCTGCAACCAAAGGTGGAGAAATCCAAGAGAGCACGCCGGAAAATGGACGGAACTGGTGCGCGGTTACTGTTCATCGCGATCGCCAGAGAGAGAAACTCTGTCCGCCATTATTATTGAGAGCTCTTTCAAGGGTAACATGTAAATTATTATTACCCAAATCAGAAAAAGTACATCAATGTTATATGCTTAACCATCAACATGGCTACACGCATATTTAAGAAGTTACAAGTACACCGTAACTACAAAAGCAATTACAACGCAAAACATCAAAACAACAAATACAGCCAAGGCCAAATACAATTCCCTTCGAAGAAGTTAACAGCTTCTTCTACAACACAGGGAGGCCAAAAATCAAAACAACATCATGCTTGCACTGCTCCAGTTAAGGCACAACAGTGAGCTCTTGTCAAACACACATTACAAACAAGTACACCTAAGTCCCTTCAAAGAGTGTTCATGCTCTTCTACAAAACAGGGAAGCCAAGAGAGTAGGAGTCAAAGCCACGTCCAAAACGATCATTACAAACAGGTATGCCCAAGTCCCTTCAAAGAGTGTAACAACTCTTCTACAACACAGGGACGCCAAAACAGGAGTAGTCAAACCCATCAGCACACTCCTGTCAAACCAACCTTTGCAAACAGGTAACCAATCATCAGAAAAAGCAAAGAAACAGCAGCCAAATCATTCCAGTAAGTGCTAAGGGCTGCAACATCATTCAAAGCAAGATATCAAACAGGGATCCTCCTGAGGAGAGCCAAAGCAGAATGTTCCAGGTCAGGTCCATTGAGTCACCAACAGCATAATTGTTCCAGTTCACCCAAAAAAAAGGCAGGGTCATCACAGAAACAGTGGCCTAATTCTATCAAAACCTCAACCCCCCCGGCCAAGTGGTAGCAAATCAGAAACTCCCTTATGCAAATAAGGATAGGCTATGCCATGGCTGGGTAAGAGTGGCCAAGGTTATCAGAATTAGGTCATCTTCAAAGAGTCCAGCATCAAAGGCACTGTAATCACAAAATGTTCCACCAAAGTCAAAGGGCCAGGGAGGCAAACCAATTAACACATTCCTTCAAAGGAAGAAGGGCAATGTGTGTCTTGGTTTGACTCCAGAACACAGAGGAAAAGATGAGAGAGGGAAGCAGAGAGAAGTGATGAAGGGAAGAGAAGAAGAGAGAAGAAGGGAGGGGAGGGGAAGGAAAAGAAAGAAAATGGATGTGTGACACACCCCAACCTGGGACCCAGGTTATTCTTTACATATCCAGAAGGGGTATCCAAAGAATGACCTGTTTCCACCACCCAAAGGGTCCACCCACCCAAAAAGGAACCCAGGCCATAACCTAGTCTGCTCATACTCAATCTGAAGAGTGACTGGAGTGTGAACAACCATGTTATGACCAAGAGAGAAGGAGGAGGCAAAGAAGAGAAGGGTGAACAGCAAGAAGGGGAGGAGAGGGAGAAAAAGAAGGAAATGGGTGTGAACACCCCAACCAGGACCTAAGTCAGTCTCTACATATCCAAAAGGGGTACATAGAGTCTGATTTATTTCCACCATCCCAGTAGCAAAGCCAAAGGGGTCCAACCACCCAACCCAAGATTCAAAACATTCTAGAGTTATTCAAAAATGAATAACCAGAGAATGTTGAGTATCCAAGCCACCAACCACCAAGGGAAAACATCCCCCCGATCCCAGGGAACATATTGCTTATCCAAAGGGGTAGGCACTATGTATCCTGTTATCCACCAACCAACAGCCAGGAGTAAAACCCCACCCATGGTACATCATTAGCCTAATCAGACTAGATAAACCAAGGTGAATCTATCCCAATATTGCACTGTAATCAGACTACAATTCCTATTCTCCATGGGGATAAATCCCAGATTCACCTTGGTTGATAACCTCCTTCTAATTGCAAGCCAGGTTGTAACAGAGAATCTGGGTGGAATGTAGCTTTGCCAAATCATTTTCATGCAGGGTTTGGGAGGCAAATGGACCCTCAATAAATCATACACCTTTGCTGTGCAGAATTCTCCATCTACAAGGAGTTCATCCCAATCCACTTCTTGATACTGATCAGTACCAAGCTTCTGGGCTAGATTGTTTCTCACTTCTGCAAGTTTTTTGAAGAAGTGTGAATCCCCATGTTTAGGGATCCAGGCCCAAACATCTCTGTCCTGGAGGTAGACACTGTGAACCCACTGAACCTAGAGGGTTTCTTTCCTTGAAGCAATGTTCCATAGGTTTTTAGCCATAAGTGCTTGATTCCAGACTTCTGAGTTCCTTATCCCAAGTCCCCCTTCCTCCTTTGGTTTGCAAATATCATCCCAAGCCACTTTGTAGAATTTGTTTCCCCAAAGGAAGGTTCTGCAAATGGAGGTTATTCTGTTAAGGACAGATTTATGGATGGGGAAAGCTTGAAGCCAAAAACCTTCTATCCCTTGGATAACACTCCTAATAAGTTTAGCTCTTCCAGCAATGGTCAAATTTTTTGTGTTCCATCTTCTTATATTATCATCAACAGTTTCAATCAATGGTGCAAAGTCCCTCTCTGATGCCCTTTGTGAAGTGAGTGGCAGTCCTAGGTATTTAACTGGTAAAAGTCCTTCAGGGAAATTCACCAAGTTGAGGATATGCTGCTTATTCCCCTTGATTTGCCCTGCCAAGTAAATATTTGATTTATGTGCATTGACATGGAGGCCTGAGACAGAGGAAAAGTGCTTCAAGGCATCAGCAAGGACCTGGACAGATTCTTTGTCCCCTCTGGAGAACATCATGATGTCATCAGCAAACGCAATGTGTGTTATCTTCAATGAGGAGCATTTAGAATGGAAGTTAAATCTCCTCTCTCTTGTCATTCTTTTCAGAAGTCTTGAGAGGTATTCCATGCAGAATAAGAACAAGGTAGGTGCCATGGGGTCTCCTTGTCTGATTCCTCTTTTGCACTTGATGAAGCCATGAATTCGCCCATTCAAAGATAAGGAAAAGGATGCAGAAGATACACATTCCATTACCCAATCAGTGAACTTAGTAGGGAATCCAAGGCCAGTCATAGTATTCTTTAAAAATTCCCAAGAGATAGTGTCATATGCCTTGGTTATATCCACTTTAAGCATACAGCAAGGAGGACTTCTTTTTCTGGCATACCCTCTAACCAAGTGTTGTGCCAGCAGTATGTTGTCCACCAGACTTCTCCCACCCACAAAAGCAGACTGTGCTTGATCAATGATTTTAGGAAGTATGTGACTCATTCTGTTGGACAAAATCTTAGTAATAACTTTATAGATCACATTGGAGCAGGCTATGGGTCTAAAATCCCTAACAGTAGGATTCACTTTGACTTTAGGGATCAAGGCCACAATAGCATGGTTGAGTTGCTTAAGGATTCTCCCACTAATAAAGAATTCAGAAACTGCTTCATACAGATTATTTCCAACAATATCCCACTTTTCTTTGAAAAAAGCAGAAGTGTAACCATCAGGGCCAGGGGATTTATTATTCCCAATAGAAAATAGTGCATCCCTAACCTCTTCAATAGTCACCTTTCTGATAAGGTTGTTAGCTGCATGGTTGGGGATGAGAGGGCCCTCTTCAAAAACATTCCAATCAACAGGTTCAATGGGGACAGTGGTTCCAAAAAGATTGGTAAAGTACTCAATAAATTCCTTTTCAACCTCCTCCAAACTGGTGGTGAGTCTCTGATCAGCTGTAAGAATGAAGGGGATGGCACTGCTATGATTCTTTTTCCTCATCAGGGCATGGAAAAATTTGGTGCATTTGTCCCCCTCAAAGAGTAGTTCACACTTAGTCTTCTGTTGGAAGAAAGATCTTTCAGCATCCATGAAGAAACTGGCTTTGTTTCTGAGTTCAACACTTCTAGACAGAAGGGAAGGATTCTCAGGTTCCAGGATCAGCTCTTGCATGAGATGGCTATACTCCTTTCTGGCAGATTCTGCTCTCTGAGAAATATGGGCAAAATGTTGTTTATTCAGAAGCCTCAGAGGTTGTTTCAGTTTTTTGAGTTTGACACATAATCTGTACTGCCTTGTTCCATTGACCCATTGGTTCCAATTCTCCCTGATCACCATATCAAAATTATCATGCTTGAGCCACATGTTGTAAAACTTAAAAGGCCTGGTTCTCTGGTTCTGAATATTCATAAGTTTCAGCAACACTGAGCAGTGGTCAGAGATTGCCTCCATGTCTCTAAATTCAGCCCAGCAGTCCCATTGCATATTTTCCCATTCATCATTGACCAGAACTCTGTCTAGTTTGGCCCATTTTTCACCTTTGTTCCAAGTAAATTCCAGCCGTGATGAGTTAGCATCATTCAATGCATTGTTGATTCTGAACTGTCTGAGATCTGTCATGTAATAGGCACTCTGGGTTTGGCAGTTCACTCTTTCAGTAGAGCTGATAACTGCATTGAAATCCCCCATAACAGCCCAAGGGCCACTGAGATCACCTGCAATGTTAGTCAAAAAATCCCACAACCCCCTTCTGGCAGTAACACAGTAGAGGGCATAAACAAAAGAAACATAAAAACTCCTTTGAGAAATGAGGCACTTGATCTTACAATGCATAAGCTGGTCAGTGACATGAATAATAGTGCACTCCACAAAGGAAGGATTCCAAAAAACTGCCATTCTCCCATCATCAATAAGATCAAAATTATGTGAAAAGCTCCATGATGGGAGTTTGTTTTTAGCAAAAAGGTTAAGTTTGGCAGTATTCATTTTTGTTTCTAAAGCACAAAATAACTTGACATCAAGTTCAAAAAGGTATTTACACAAAAAGTTTTGCTTAGAGGCCTTGCCAAGGCCTCTAATATTCCAACAAAGTACCTTCATCAA